GAACAGTAAGGATTAAAAAGGAAATTTTTTTGGTACAGGGACAAAAAAAAAACTTTTTTCTATAGTAGAGGGACCAAAAAGGGTATTTAACCTTCTTGTTTTTGGACAACATGAAACTCATTCAATAAAATTCTTATGTTTTAGGACAAGGTTGGAATGTGAAGTATGCGATGAGAGCCAAAACATATGCACTTACCTTTTTCCAAACACATGTTTGCAATTCGCTTAATCAAAAAGTTTTGCTGCAATTGAAACCTGTAATTAATTAACAAACAATTAATATTGGTTCATGTTGACATGATTAAAGTTAAATATATACTAATTATGAGCACCATTAACAACAGTACGTTGTGCAAGCTTTAAGCATATATCAATATGATCTATATTATAAGGATAATGTTATTGGGATAATTTTTTTATTTTTTTTTATACAATTTTTACATATTATTAAATAAGTGAATACATTTAATATTACAGATCTTACATAAATTAAAAAAATTAATTATTTTAATAATACATCAAATTATACAAAAAAAAATAAAATAAAATAATTATCCCAATAACATTCCCCATATTATAACGTGTGGAATGGATATCTGATATCAAATCTATCCACGTATTTTCGTATCATTATTACAATCATAATTTGAAGCTTTAAAAAATATATTGAAGCTTTATCACAAAACTGATTAAAAATCTGGTGCCATCACTCCACTTCCGCATGCGCTCTTCACAGTTTTCCGTCTGCTTAACTCAGTTTTTTTTTTTTTTAAATAGTAATAATAATAATAGTTTTTTTAACTGCATCATATTTTAAAAGTATAATAAATATATTTTTTTATCATAAATTTATATTGAAAAAATATAAAAATAAAAATTTAATTTATCCACCATTTAATCAATTTTCTTTATTTGACAATAATACTAAAATTAATGTTAATTTATATATTTTTTATATATATTTATAACGAAAAGATGTTAAATTTAAAACTAGTTAAACAAAATCTTTTAAAAAGGTTTTCTTATTTTTTTATGAAAGTTCTTTTTAGTTTTTAAAGGACTTAAAATTAATTGAAACTCCAAGGTTGTTGTCCTCAAGTATAAATGTTTTTGTTGTTGAAACTATTAAATTATTAACTCTTGAAGATTCCGAGGCTTTAAAAAAATTCATAGAAAGAGAAAGGGAAAAAAAGCTTTGCTACTAATAATATATATGCTGGGATAGGCAGTGTTCTGCCGGCCTCATGGCCTTTCGTTTTGCTTATTTGGTTTGTGACGATTATGCACTACTTGCCCATTGTCATTGCCTGAAATGAAGGATTCCAATACGGAACTTAAATCACAATTAGATGCCTAATTAAAACTTAATTAATTAACCCCAAATATGTCATGTTAATAATTTACTCCATGCACAATCAAAGGCAAATTAATCCGAGTACTCTCATTAATTTTCTTCTTGCATGCACCTAATTAATACTCATTGAAAAAATATATTTACAAAATCATGCAGTCTTTTCTTAAGATGAAATCTTACAAGAATCTCATGATTCTTTTTATATATATATATATATATATCTAAGGGTTAATTGTTTGATAATGTAAAGTTTTAAACTTTACTGATTTTGATTCTAAATTAAAATTATTAAGTTAGTAGGGTATCAATATGACTAAACTCTTGTTGGTAGAGTTTCATGATATTGATCAAATTGTTTAGATGTATATCAATCTCTACGTTCCATAGACTAGATGCGTATATACATTAATTGTGTGAGAATAATTTTCTTTCATAAAATGGAGATGTTGTTTCTTTATTCTCAGGAAATCTTATTGATTTAGCACCATGAACAGAGATAGAAAGTTCTCTATAGCCTCCTTCCATATAATTATGACTATATTGTGTTTCTCATGATTCCGGCCTTAACAATTCCATCTTAATCTATATTGGACCACTATCTCACCATTGACGTTCTTTGAGCTACACCTTTTGTCTCTTTCCATGCAATACCGAAAGATGTTTTTCACGTATGAAACCATATATATGATCAATGATTAAAATTTATTAATGAAACCAGTATTGGGGCTAGCTAAATGTGCTCAATCCAACAAAAGGAGGTTTCATTTTGCTGCTAAATCGGATTCGCAGCAACTCAACAATTTGTAATGTAAATGATTTCCATTATAAACCAATGACAAGACTTCAAGAGGACATGTTTCCTCCAAAACCAGCAAAATTTTCTTTGATATATCAAACTCTATGATTCAGATACAGGAGATATTGTGTCCAATTCTGGGGTAGTCAAGGTCTGGATATTGCTTTGGAGTAGAGGCGGCAAATGAATGCGTTGGATCGGGTTTAGATTGGGTTTACATGGATCACAGGTTTTACGAGTTGGATCATATATAAGTTGCAAGTTAACATGTGTTGATCCTAACTTGACTTTAACGGATCATGGATTGACCTGTGGATTGAATTATATATATATATAATTAATCACATTTTTAATACAAATTTATTAAAATTAAATTATAGTAACTTTCATATGATTATTTTTTAATAATTTTGCTTCTCTCTATTTGATTAATTTAAGCAAAATGACTTATTTTTTATGGAATATTTTTGAATAATTCATTTAATTTTTTTATTTTCTTTATTGATAATCATATATAATATACAATACTTAATATATAAATTTTAAATGAATATAATCAACTTCACTTAAAATTTTTTATAAATTGTAATGATCACCATCGTATTGGTTATTTTACTTTAAAAAAATTATCTTATAAAAATATATTTTTTAAAATTTTAAAAACAAATGAATTAAACAGGTTAACTCGTAAACTTGTGAACCCATGGGTTGACCTATATTTGATCTATGACTCATTCAGGTTGACCCGAATGAGTCACAAGTCTAATATTATTTGACCTTAACCTGCTTTTTAAGCATTGGGTTAGGGTCGGGTTATCAAGGTCGGTGTGATTTTACCACCTCTACTTCGAAGCAATAATATACCTACATTTATCTTACTGTAGTTAAAAGGTAGTATATATTATAGGACGCCCATGAATTCAATGATACCACTGTTGAAGGCACTGAAGAAATGAGACAATGCTTTAGGCAGAGAGAATATATCTATTTGAATGGTTGATTCAGCCCCAGAAAAATATGCTTAATTAGTTAAATATCATTAATAATTGATTGGTACGGGATCTTTAGCAATGTACGAGTGCCACTAATTAATTAAGACAATTTTCGTGGCATGATTAAAAGCTAGCGGATTCTATCATTGTCAATGGTTCATCTAAAACATTTTACATCATGAAAACGAGACTAATTGTTTTTTTTTTATATTTTTTTAAATGGAATTGAGTAGGAAAATGATTAGTATAAATTTGATTTAACATATTTATCAACACTTATTTTAGTTCAATTATTAAAATGTATTATAAATACAATTAATTCAATCAGTTCTTGTATTATATATGTATAATTGATCTTTATAAATTTATTTGCCTTGAATTTTAAACTAAAAAATAATAATTTTTTAATAAATATGTTATATAATGTATTGAATTAAAATATACATCAATTAATGTCCAATTAAATAATTAGATTGAAGTAGCTATAGATGGTAATCACGGTTGAACTTGAACGCATATGAGAAGAGTCTCCATTGGTAGTTCACCAAACAAGTTTGGATTTGTAACTAAAGATGTGAACATTTAACTACAAAGTCTTTGTTCCTTTCTAGTTATCATTTTCGTCTTCCTTTTGGTAAGATTTAAAAAAATATGATTCACACACAAAAACTTTCTCACAACGAAATCTTACCATTATAAATTTTAAAATTGTTAGTTTGAGTTTTCATATTAAAGATCTTAAATTTAAATTTTAAGATAAATAAAGAATTTAAGAAGAAGATGATCATCAGCCTATTATTTAATTATATCCTAAAAAAGTCTTGCTATCACAGATGACAATAATTATACCAACTTTTCCACCTCAATTGAACATAGAAATTGATATACATCATCTCATCTCATGTTGCTATATTGTAAAATTTCATTATGAGAAAACATCAATTAGCAAAGTTTCATACGTAATGATGCATTTGATGGAGATTAAACCAATTAGCTTTCTCTAAAAGGAGCTTGGGACTTGCAAATTGATTATATTAATGAATAGTCGAGAACATTTGATCGATTAAAATATCATGCTTACTTAATTCGAAGTTAGACTTTTGCCACGAAGCACTTTACTGATTAATCATGACAATATATTATAATATAAATAAAAAAGATGCTTAATATTGGTTCATGTTGGGGTTGAAAGATGCTTTGAGGAAGAGACACGAGGGGTTTTGGTACCATGAAGTACATTTTTTTTTTTTGAGTTTATCTTCATGAAGTAGTTTACAATTTAAATTATAAAATATAAATTATTATTATTTTTTGTAAATTTAAAATTTTATTAAACAAAATACAAGTGATATTCCATTGAGATTGGTGTTTTGCAATTCAATTTACATTAAACTACAAAATATTAGTCATTGAATGAAAAGAAGTTCTCAATTTTAAGAGTTCCTCCTTAATCCAATATTTTAATACAGTTCATAGGGGCAAAATTAAAATTCAGTGAAAGATAAGACTTTTTGTTTCTCTTTAACCTGCCAATTCAGTTTGCAAAACACCCTTATATATATATATATATATATATATATATATATATATTTATTTATTTATTTATTTATATTCCAATTTATAGTAGTAAACCGAACAAAAGCTTGTAAGCAGAGACTGGTGGAGTTGGATCATGATTTTCATGAACGGCCCAAGTTGATTAATGTGTAGCCCAATGATGTTATTGGCTCAGAAGTCCCCCTATTGTATAAGATGCGATTTTTTTCTCTTTTTTTTTGGGTACATATAAGATGCAATTTTTTTTTTATGATCTATTGTAAGATGCAATTTTAACATTCAACACTAGGAAGAAAATATAAAATGCAGTTAAAATTTAGTATGATAACACCAAGTTCTTAATACCATGATACATGAAATGCCAAGCTTTCCTCCCTCCTTTTTCTTTTCTTCTTTCTTCGCTTCACAGACTTAAAACTCTCAACATGCTCATCAGCTGATGAGCATGCTCTTGCATTCATTTGGGATACCTCCTAATTGTAATATGTAATTAATTGACATCCGCAAAAGGAGTTCTATTAGGTGAGAAGTCCATTAATGGCTGGATTTTGCTTCCATTTTGGTCCCATCTTGCTCTGCTCTCTGAGTAATTATCTGCCTTGTGGTTTTCATAGGAAGGTGTCCTCAACTCTTCAATTGATTCCAAGCTAGGCACCAGAATGACCCGTTTCTTTGGAGTTGTATCGGTATGCTGATCAACCTGCGCATGGTAAAACCAAGTTAAAATCACTAGAATTATCATAAAAAACCAGAATGATCCAATTATGGCATTGCTAGAATGCCTAGCTCGTTTACTTGAGAACCATGTTCAAGTGTATGAATGCATTAGTAAATAACAGGGTGCTCGAAATTTGCATACCACGTAATCTTTTACTAGGCATTTCTCTGCTTCACTTCTGATACTTGAGATGCTTTGACCATGCTGCTCCTGTATTGTTTTAAGCTGATCCAAGCATGTGGAAGTAAGGCAGTCCATTTCTTCCTTACTGTCATGGTCTCGATCTAATGAATCTGTTAATGAGTAAAATATTTTTACTGACCTCGAATGAGTAAAGAAACTGGATTTTCAAGAGATTATTATTGTAGTAGATTAGATTACCCTTTGCTACTGCCATTATCTCTTCACTTCTAGCAACAAAATTTGCATCCATAGAGGAGAATGCAGATATGAATTCCTGATGTATGGTATGGTATTTGCCAATATTTTCCCTATTGAAGTGCAAAAAAGTTCAATAAACTCAATAGATTAGTACTTCAAAAGTTTTGGAGGAAAAAAGGGGTTGATTACAAGAAGACCAAGGAACCAGAAAGACTAACTTTACAGTAGATTCTATATGTGAAGCACCAGTAATGTTCATTTCCTTTATGTAGGATTTTGTATTTTCCCACAGCAGCATTGAATGATTCACCTTCTTTGAGCTGCAAGACAATTATAAAGAAACAATTATATGCAAGCCATGGTGCTAAAAGGATATTATAAACATTTCAAATATGAGAGAAGGTTCTACATGACTGGTAGAGACATAGAGTTAGCATCAGAAAGGATTGGACAAGCAACCTTAGATGCTTACTTAGCATAAGAAAATACTAAAAAGCAGAATGTGATAAAAAAGAACTTAATCACTTTTAAGTCTTACCAATCCTGTAGATGATCTTCCATTACACTCCTAGATTCAGCAGCTGAGAATGTGTCCTCGATGAAATGTCTTTCCATCTTTGCTATGTATTTGCTCAACTCCTCCTTAGCATCAGTTGAAACCTGCTGCATCATGGACATTTGCTGCTGCAATACCCTGTTCTCTTGCATACCTGAGTCGTTGATGTTCCTTGATGCCTCTGAGACCTAACAAATAATTGAAAGTATAAAACATTCAGAAATTGCACAGAATTGATAGAAAAGAGAAAGAAAATCGAAGGATTACAGATTTACCAAAACAGTTTTCTTAGATGTCAAATTTGCTAAGATCGATGTAATCTTCTCCAAAGCTAGTTTTTCCTCTCTTGCAGCCTCTTCCTGTTCATTGTAAAATGATTATCAGATTTTATTCCCTCCTAATATTTGTCATACATGAATTTCAACTCTAGAAGACCATCTTACCTTGAAAGTCTTCTCAAAATTAGCTAATTGATGTGATTTCTTTATTTGCCATTCTTCAAGAGTTGTCATGAATTCAGAAGCCTGATTATATATGTCAGTAAGAAAATCTGCTGTAGCATTAGATATTTCTTGCGCTGAAAACATGCTTCGTTGTAATCCCTGCGATCATCCACAGATATTAGGTAGAGTCTTTTTACTACATGCAGAGCAATTAAGCAGATAATGTGATTAATAGTGGATATAACAAACTAAACTACCTCTTTTTGTTTATGAGCAGAGAAAACCAACATTTCTTTTTGGTCATTAAGAGAATTCTGGATATCCCCAATAAGCTCCTTGGCCTCTGACACCGCATCAACAAGAAACTACGGAGAAAACAAAAATTAGTATACTCCTTACAAAATCCAAATAAAACACATTTTATCAAAACTCTTCATCTTCTTTAGTTTCATACCTGCTCAGCAGCTGTGATTTGTGATATGATTGCAGAATTTATCTGCTCAAGGTTTAAGGAAGCTTGCCTTTGTATTAGGTTGGCAAGTTCCTTCAATGCTGATACTCCTGAAGTATATGTTTCTGTCATCTTTTTAACCCTAGAATCCAAGGCCTTCGTTGCCTGAAAATGTTAGTAGATAATATCAATCAGATGCAGTAACCAAAGAAGCATATGGTTGGATGATGAGATGAAATGTCTTTGACTCTTACATCACATCTACTAGCAATAAAAGAATGAGAAAGCTCTTCCATGCATCTAAGCTGTTGCTGTTGTTGAGAAATTGACCCCAAGATGGTCTTGTGCAAGGATTTTAAACGTTGATCTAGCTGAGAGCCAAATGTCAAAACCAGGTTCCGGTTTTCTGCTTCCATCTTATTCTTATCATCTGCACAGAATAAAAGAATTCAGACAAGATTCCTCAAATGATGCAGGAGTGAATACCACATATAAATCTATGCAGGTCCCTGGAGGACCAAGGTGCCAATAGCCTCTCATTAATATTATTATTTGGTAGGGAAAGGATAAGATCCTATTTGAAATGAGGGTGATACCATCCCTCATAACATGATAGCTTCAATCTTCCATAGAACTTATCAAACATCTCTGAACTAAAAAATTACAAATACTAGTATGATCACAGAGAGGACAAAACACTGTAGTTTGTTATACCTAATTTTGTAAAAAGTGAACTTATGTCCCCTGATGCGTTTTGCAGATCAACTCGCAGCTCCTTTGCTAATTGAATCAAAGCATTCTCTGTTTATAAAATGGTAGTCAGTTTAAACATCCAAAAAGAGAGGTGATAGATATTTTCAGTGATCACTCTGTTACCTGAGCATAACAATTTTGAGATAATAAACTCCTTTTCCTTAATTGTAAATATTGCTGCCCTGTGTTTCTCTTGAAGATCTAGGAATGCTTTGTTGCTCCTTTCAAGATTTATCTGTTGGAACAAATGTAACTTTTGTAATCAGAGGATGTTGTCAGAATCAGGAGTGACTTAACAGCATATGAAAATTTTCAAGTCCATGGTTACCTGGCAATCTTTGAGCTCTTTTTCTATGTCCAATTTCTGCTCTTGCTCAATAAGATACAGCTCATGGAAGCTTTCAGCTTGCTGCATGAAGAAGTCAATTAACATAAATAAATTATGATAAGAAATATGCTGAAGAACATTGAGGTAGAAGTAAACTGTACCTTCTCACTGAGGTTGAGATCATTCTCTAGTTGCTCTATCCTCTCAATCCTTGCCTGCAAGGTTATTCAGGCACTCATAAAAATTCACATAAATCAGGTTGCATATAGAGGTATTAATCAGTTTTTCTCTTGAATTTGATATTCATGAATTTTAAAAGGTTTGGATATATGAATCCGTAAAAGAATGTGAATGAATCAGTTTATAGATCCTTTGTAATCCCTACCTTCTTTTCAGTTTCCTCTTGTGCATATCTTTCATGTGGAATGTAGACACCATTTTTGTCCCTTGCTGCTCGAACATCTGCATTAACTCTTATACATAAATAAGGATCCAAAATATTGGTTTCATTTCCGAGTTCTGACCATGAAATCTAAGAATGCAAGTTTATCATCAAACCTTCTTTCATTTTCTCAATTTCCAAGTACAAATCCTTAAGCAACACTGCCTTGGACATTTTCTGGTTTGCCTGGAAAAACAAGCTTTTTTTCATTAGTGCATAAGAAAATAAAAACAAATAATCAAGGCAAAAGAATCATTCAAATTTACCTCTGGTCTATTTTTGATGTTTTTAGCACGATATGCATAATCTAGTGTGCTCAATGTTTCTTCCAGGGAATGTGCAGAAGGAGATATTGTGGCAATAATGCAAGTCTTTGTTTTTCCTCCCAAGGAGTCTCTCAGGAGCCTCGTCAGCTTACTATCCCTGCATTAACATGTTGTAAAACATCAGGAAAATAGAAATGAAAATAAATTCACAAAGTAAAAAACAAAATAATAAAGTTATAGAAGGTAACCTATAAGGTATATGTGCAGAATGTTCCACAAGAGCATTTATAACACGACCAAGGGTGAGTAAGCTCTTGTTTATCTCTCCTGCTTCCCTTGCACGACTCTACAATATAACGAAGATATATGACACCCTTTTAGAGAAAAAGATGATGTTACAAGAAAAAAGGGTATACAAAGTTACACGAGTAACAAAATTCATCAGAGAGATCATACTTCAATCAAGCATCAGCAAATTAGGAGGTTTCAATTTTAAATAGTCACTTACATCTCGAGCACCGGAGCGTGAAATATTTTCAGATCCTGCCAAATCAACGAGATTAAGCTTGCCACATTTAATCAGATCTTCATCTCCAACAGCCGCTTCTTTTATGTAGACAGTGATGGAAAATACAGAATGGGACCGACTGTGAGAAAAAATAAAACTAAGTTAGCATAATTGGTGTTTCATATGAACTCTCCATATCATCCACAATCAAAGAAAGAAACAAGCTTCAACCTGCTCCTCTTGTTTAACAATGTATCTGCTGTGCGCCTCTTGGCTGCTCCACGTTCCAAGAGATTGTAAATTTCATTAGCACTGTACACAGCTTCCTCTTCAAGACCTCTCACAACAACACAACCCTTTCCATCCTCCATCAAGGAAATGGGTTTCCTTTGCTTATCTTCCAAACATCTTGAATTGTCATCAGGAGCCAGCAGATCAGTTATTTCTTCATTGTACAGCTCCAAAAAAGTCACTTTCATACTGTAATCAGCATTTTGAGCCTCAAGTGTATCGAAAATTTGTCGAACTGCTCTCGGAATAACACCAGCTTCAGCAGGTAGATCACCACCCTATTTCATTGTAAAAGTAATTTTTCCGAGCAAGAGAAAATAGATTCTCTTAATAAACATCTCCCAGAACTTAATCAAACAAACTTTCCCAATTTCCATACCTTGTTTCTCATACCACCCTCCATTGTATACGTTTTACCAGTGCCTGTCTGCCCATATGCAAAGACTGTGCAGTTGAAGCCGTCGAGGACTTCATTGACAATTGGGACAATAGCTTGATCATATATTGTCCTCTGTTGAGCTTTGGGTCCAAAGACCTTACAGACAATGTAAAACATGTAAAATTCAACACTATGATCATCTAAAAAGAGAGACTGAGCATTGGACTACAGGGCATAACATAAAGCTTTTACCTTGTCGAAAGTGAAAATTCTATCTACTTGCTTGTTAGCTACATGCTGCAACACAGTGACTTCTCTTTTGTGCTCATTACATGATATCACCCTCGGAACATTACTTCGCTGCTCCTCTTCACTCAAAGGTCTAAAACCGAAATTAAAAATGAAATAAATCTCAAATCTAAACTGGAAATTTAGAGGCTTAATTAAGATCATCTCTCAAAACCCAGCTGAAAATTGTCTCACAGAATTAGGAAATTTAAATTAAAAAAAAAAAAAAGAAATAGAAAAAAGAAATACCTGCATCTAAGCAGGACCTGGACATTAACCTCTTTGTCTCTGTCCTGACGGGTTGAGTTCCACTCGGGTCTGACATCGAGGCGACGGCGTTCAGGGCGAGGAGTGAGGAACGGAGATGGAGATGCCGATAACCCCATTCCGACTTTTTTACACTGATCCGGAGTGAGTGATAACATCCTTCTTCCTTCCGTGTTCAAAATAACTCAACCTCAGCGAAGCACGAAATTTAATGACGAAGCACAACCCAAGAAGTAATTTTTTTTGTAAAATCAACAGCGGAGGAGATTCGTACAGAAGTAAGCAGAATCAAGCTTATATTGTTCCCCCTTTTTTTTTTTTTCTTGTGTCTTAAAAAATTCAAGAGATGAACAACTTACTAAGCGGTGGAATCTGGAGAAAGAGGAATTTTTTGCAAAGGGAGAGGGAGAGAGAGCTTTTTGAATTGTGCCTTCCTTTTTGTGGGTTGTGGTGTGTGTTGTTTAGTAGGATTGAAAAGGGGTCTCCTCCTTTTTTCAGGATTGGATTTGGAAGTAGGTACTATTTTTGCAGCGGGTTTTCAAACGCGGAGCGGATGCGAAAATACTTTGGATTTTCTAACGGCTACTTACGTCGTTGTATTTTTGTAAGATGTAGCCGTTGGGGGGGAAGGGAACACCGCCCTACGAGGGAGGGCCTTTTTCGCCATAGGTGGGTCCCACCTGACAGATATTCAAAAAATTCAAACAGTTCACCTGCCGTTCCACTCCAAAATAGTCGATTCGCAAGACCGTTTTAATATCATGAAAATCGATTTTTCCACCCTCAGTCCTTAAGGTTAAATTTAATGTATATTTTAGTCATTAAGTTATATAAAAATAAAAAAATAATATTAATTTTAATAATAATATCAAGTATATTAATTTAATTGATTAGTTATTAAAATTAAAAATAATTTTAATGTAATTTAACATGTAAAAAACATATTAATTATATTATTAGGGGTGTTTGGTGCACCGAAATACGAAAAAATAAAAACAGTTTTATGAGTTAAATTTATTAATAAATAAATACAAATGATTCTTATAGTTTAGGATTAAGGTTCAAAACTTCGAATATCAAAGTCAACATTTAAAAAATTAATCTTTGAATGCACTAAACTCATGGAGATAGAAAAAAGACACTCACAATGTAAAACCTTCAATCTTCCCAGTTAATTCCAGATTTATTTTGAAATATTCATTCGAGGAGAAAAGCTTTTAAGAAGTTAAAATTAAAAAATAAGAAGAAAAAGAAGAAGAAGAAGAAGATAAAATTGGTTTGTTATATAACCTGAATTAGGACAGACGGAAGTTCGATCAAATTAAGTTCAATTGATCATTTCCACTGCATGGTTAGCAAAAACATCTGAGACTCTAAATTAGAAGAAATCTTCGTTGGTTAATAAACAAAACTGTCGCTAAAAGAAAAAGGAACAATGAATACACAACACGATGAACAATCATTGCAAAGGAGAAAGAACATTGCCATACAATGGCTTCTTCTGTCCCAAATTTCTACGAACATTGAAAATGAATCCGATTGTCGGTGGATAGTGTTTCAGCATAGATCCATTATAGGGGCGCTGATCCATAGAATACCACTTCAGCTGGTCCAGTCATGTATACATGGTTGTCTGCTTCCCTCCACTCGATCTCCAATGGTCCTCCAGGTAAATCAACCGTGCATTTCTGTTTTAAAACAACAGTCATCAATCATGAGGAGAAACAGACAAGCTGAAGTAGCATCCAAGAGAATTGTAAAACATGTCTGTTGGCTGAAGTAGCATCCAAGAGAATTGTAAAACATGTCTGTTGTTTAAAGGTTGTTAGAATCTGAAGAGGTATCATAATTCAGTTGTGTAAATTGCAAATATTTTTCTTCCCAAGGACAGCATTGTTTCTTCAAAAAAGAAAATGGTAAATTCCTGGGGTGCATATTGTATGCACGTGCTCATCAAGCTATTCACCAACACGTCTTAGAAAGACTTACCCTTCCAGCCCGACCCTCAAGAACAGCTGCAACCACTACTGCACAAGCTCCTGTTCCACAGGCCAAAGTTGCTCCTGCAATATGAGTTTAATAATTTGATAAATTTTATGGTTCTAGGAAGAAGCAAAATCATCCAATGTGCATATTGCACAAGGGATTTCCAAATCAATGAAAGCAAATGAACTAGTGTTTGTCATTAAGACTAACCTGCACCACGTTCCCAAACACGCATTTTCAAGTGTGAAGGAGAGAAAACTTCCACAAATTCTGCAAAATAGTATCAAACACCATACATGAGTAGGCCATCCATTGTGCATGTTATATTGCCCATTTTGAAGATTAACTACTGCAAAAAACCCAGGGGATCTCAGAAGCTGGATAAGTTTTACCTTCTATATTTTCAAGTCTCCAAGGCTTAGTGGATCTATATACCATTTTAGAATAATTTTTTATTGACAAAACAGAGAGGGAGAAAAGTGGATGAGGTGTTAAATTTACAACTCAAAAGCATTGTGTGTTAAATTTCTCACATTTATTAGATGCGAGGAGAATGTGGATAAAAAATTATTAGCTACAGGAAAACCCATCTTTGGTGCGTAAAAATCATTTACCAATGAAGGTAAGATGGTTTGCCAACAAAAGATAAGCCATGGAACTGGTTCCTGAAAACTCTATCTCCCTAAATAGAAAAGAACAAACCTGTGTTAGTCCTGGCAGGGAACATATCATGATGCTCAAATTTAGGACCAATTTCTGCTAAATTTAGCTCATCAACTTGCAAATTCTGTTCAGAGCAGGAGGAGTAAGACGAGTCAAATGAATGATAAAGGAAAGATAATTAACCAGGAAAAAAAGGAAGGCAGAACCCCAAATTCATCCCTAAAATAGAAGGGTAGGGACAGATCCACCCCTTAAAAAAATGCAAGGACAAATTGCCCCTCCACATTGTCAATTAAGACAAATCACCCATTATTTAACGTGTGACATCATCACACATTAGAAATCCATTTGCCACCTAAGCATGTTTTTAATGGAAAGTTAACCTGTGATGATATCACACATTAAATAATGAATGATTTGTCCTCGCTGAGGATGTGGAGGAGCAATTTATCCCTACTTTTTTTTTTTTTGAGGAGCGGATTTGTCCCTACCCTCCTATTTGAGGGTGGATTTTGGGGTTTGGCCAAAAAAGAAGAAGAAAGAGAATATATTTTAATTCCAGATTCAGCACAGAAAAAAGAAAAATCAAGAATTTCCAGGAAATGCAGTGTTCTTCTCTCGAGTTGATGAAGATGCCTGCTATAGTAAGAAATTGATTAAAAAAGCAGAAAATCATTTAACTTCTTAAGTTCTTTTGCTTTACCTTCTCTAAAGAATGTAAGAATAAAAGTTTACAACTCTCATAATTTGTGAAATCTAGTCTCATAGACAATTGTATCGCACATTACAAGCTCAAAACTGCATACTAATTACTATGTTACTTTAAACCTATCAGAGAAAAGGGTATCCCAAAAATGCCAACATGTTCTGGAATAACTTTATGGATAGCAACTAAATAACCAAAAAAAAAAAAAAAAAAAAAAAAGAGGTAAAAGAAGACAAGACAAGGAACACTCATCACAAATAAATACCATTTTAGTCAATTATATGAACACGAACCTGCCCTCCTTTGGTGCTGAAAGCTATGCAATGAGGATTGCCCATACTAACACAAGTCACATTCCAAGTTAGTCCATCAACATTAAGCTCCGATTTAACAACAGATTGATCTTTATTTGGTGGCAGTTTTGTTGGTACATCTGATGCTTTTAGTATAGGTTCGCCCATATCAACTCTAACCTGAAAGTTCGATACATAAGCATTATAAGTAAACAGAACAGCAGAGTAAGATAGATTTCCACATTAGGTTCTAAAAGGCAAACCTTCCCATCATCTTGAATTTCTGGAACTATAAGACCAGCACCAGTGTGGATTGTAAAACTGCATAAATATTAAACAGAATATTAACAAGTATTATCGTGCGGACTAGCACTTAATATAAACGCCATTGCAATTAAACAAAAAAGGTACCAATGGTACCTTTGCCTCCCCTGTAAACTCTCAAGCTCAGCAATGAATCTGGCGAAGCACCGCACCCCATTACCACACATCTAGCAAGTTAGCATAACATTAAAACTTAACCCAATTCTGATTGACGGATGCTCCAGTCAAATATTGCTAGGGAGAATCATTTCCCACATAAGCAAAAAGATAATTATGTAGAATGCAAATTACCTCAGGCTCGCTACCATCAGAATTGAATATCCTCATGGTATAATCAGTACCATTAACTCCTGGCATGGCGAAAATCACTCCATCAGCTCCAATACCAAAGTTCCTATCACACAGCTTCACCGCTTGCTCCGGCGTGATCCTTGGTTCAGTCGAGTCCCGATTATCTACCTATTCCAAGAAGCATCAATAGATATTAAAAGTTTTCCTGCTTTGTCCAAGAAACATTGGGAAGAATTACATAAAGAGAAATTACCAAAATGAAGTCGTTCCCAAGGCCTTGGTACTTAACAAAGTAAAGAATCCCGGTTTCTCTCCGGTAAAGGAAAGAAGTCGGAGACATTTTCTCGGAAGGTCCGATGCTCATTGAAAATGCAGAGACGCGAAAGTTAGGGTTTTTTAGGGAAAGGTTCGATCTGAAAGAAACAGATTGGCAAGAAGAAGCAGGAGCTGATCGAAAGTTATCGGCGGAGGAGGAGGGGAGAGAGAGGCTGCGCAGCTGGGCCGCGAGCAAGAGGGAGATGGTGGCGGCTTTGGGCATGCCTTCTTTGACTTTGGTCACCGGAAGCGGAGAGTTTAGGTTTTGATTCGGCAGAAGGTGCAATCCAGCCCTGTACTTAAAATGAAAGATAGGTGAGAAAAATAAGAAAAACCCCAATTAGCTCTCCATAAATTTCTCTAGAGAAAATACAAGGGAAATCTAGTAAAAAATAAAAGAACGATTTCCAATCTATTCCTCGATCTAATGGTCTGAAATCAGAAAATTACAAATAGTCTCCAAAGGGTTATTCTTTGTTTGAATTGAGGAAGTTAGAGGGGAAAGGAGGGGAGAGTGAGGGAGAGAGAGTACTTGTTCTTATTTGGGTAAATCACTTTTATTTGGGTAAATCACTTTTATGATTGAAGTCCCCTCCTTCCCATGTTTTCAATACCTTTGATTTGAAAAAATGAGAATTGATTGTATTATTTAATCTATTTTTATTTTTAATTTTTTTTAAAAATATATATTATTTTAATTAATTAATTAATTAATTTTAAAATTTTTGTTATTTTATTTTATTTTTTTATTAAATTATTAAATTAAATAAAAATATTTTCATTTTCCCTCCTTCATTTTTGTCTACTTAAACAAAACTAATATTAATCTTTTCCTTCCCTCTCCCCTTCTTTTCCTTTCCTTTTCTTTACTAATTTTTACCCAAACATAGGCTTACAGAGAATAGTAGAGGTTGAAGAAGATAAACAATTTTTGAGTTACTTTAAAAATAAAACACAAAGCTGCTAAATAACCTAACCCTATTTAAAACGACCTCAGAGATAACATAAAACGACGACACACAATTAATCCCACTTGGCAGCCATATCATCATCTAGGTCCCACATGCCTTATTTATTTACCACATATCATTCCCTTCCGCTTCAGAACATCCTTCCCCCAAAGAAGAAATAAAAGAAAACTCAAACGGAAAACAAGCAAAAAGCCCCCCAAGTGGAACCCTGGAATAAGCAACGGAATAACGAAATAAACCCCTGCCCCCAACAAACAACCTTCCAAGCAAAAAGAATGGGAACCCCAAAAAAAAAAGAAAAACAAAACCCAATGGGGCAACCAAAAAAAAAGGAACAAGAAAAACTAAACCTAACCTCAAGTGGAAAACCAACAAAAAAAAAAAAAAAAAGAACAACCTGGAAGCCTCCCTTGGAAACCCTTCAAAAGAAAAACCCAATTGCAAAAACCTGGAAGTCCAAGAAGCAATTCCGAAAAGTTCAAAAACCAAAAACAAAGAAACAATGGCCAAAAAGAAGAACAAAAAAAAAAGGGAAAAAAGCCCGCCCTCAAGCCAACAAAAAAAACCCTGAAAAAAGGAAAAAAAAATTAAAAGGGTTCCAAGAAACAAAACCAAGTTCAAAAAATCAAAAACAAGCCCAATAAGAAAAAGGGGAAAAAACCGCCGCAAAACAAAAAAAAAGAACCAAGGTGCAATTCCAAAAATAAAAGAAACAATGCCCCAAAGAAGGAAATTCAAGGAATGAAACAAAAAAAAGGGAAAAGCCCTCCAAGGGGAAATTGCCAAAAAAACAACGAACAATGGAAAAACTTTTAAATTTGCCCCCCCAACTCCAACCAACAATTTTCCAAGCAAAAAAAACGGAAGCAATGGGGAAAAAAAGGCAAAAACCCCAAGGAAGAAAAAAACAAGCAACCGAAGAAAGAAAACCAACCGCCTCCTGCCCGAAAATTGAAGTTGCCCAAAAACTTCAAAGAAATTCCGCAACAAAGCCAAAAAAATAAAAATGAAAACCTCCCCCTGAACCCAAAACATAACTCCAATAGATTTAATAGGCATAACCCAAGACAAATCTTCTACATGCCCATGCAATAACATATTAGAACTGTCCTCTACTATAAGTTGAAAATCATTGCGGAAAAGCTTATATTCTAGCCACCATATAAATTCACACATAGAAGGACAATTGAAGAATCTGCCATTAGCTACATCATGTTCCAAAGAACCAAAACCCCTTAAATTCTCACAAGGAAAGCTTTTAGAGAAATATTTCTGTCCATTTGTAAATTCCATTGTCAATGTAATGAAGTCCTGCATAACATCATTCCCTAATGCCATGCCATAATTTCTACTTGGAAAAAATAAAAAATCTGTGTAAAAAGTGACAATATGCAAGTTCCAAATGTGAGTCATTATGAATGAGAAACTCAAACACATGCCATATATTTCCTCGCCGACATCCCAAAATCAAATGAGAACGTAGCAGCTTGATGGTACTTCTGACATTGTGTATGGCTTTATCAAAATTCTAGAATTAGGTCCTACATATAGGCAATAAAGATACAACCCATTCCCTGTAGTCTTAGACATAGATTCTACATTCCAAAAGTCAACATTCTTATTCTCATGTAGAACCCACGCCACATGCTTAGAAATCAAACTCAAAGGATTCATTTCAAGAGAACTCCAAGACTCAAGATTCTTGTTGCAAGTAATTATAGAGTCCAATTTCAGAATTTGAATAATTACCTTCGAGTTCACACTGACAAGTACATCGTCCTGCCCTAAATGGCCACGAACTGCCCTAAATGGCCACGAACAGAACCTCCCTTAGATGACTTCTTGTCAGCATTCAAGGCCACCTCCATGCCGAGTAAATCAATCATTCCCTCAGACCTAGTGAGTGAGCCTCCATTACAATTGACAAAAGCTTTTATACTAGTAAGTGATAGAGATATTGACAGGCCTGGCTTGGGAAATAATAGAGATAATGGTTCTAGAGATATTCATCTGCCATTCCTTCTTGCTCCAACGTAACCAAAATAGGATCACAATCTTCATGAACTTTTTCCCTGCACCGTGACTTCAATCTATCTATATATTGTCTCCTTTTTGCAGCCATAGAATCTTTTACCATAATTCACCAAAATCACCACCAACACCTTTGAATTTACGAAATCCGACCGTAACTGACCTAGAAATTGATGTGGTTTCAAGACCAAATAACTCAGGCATTTCATCGAACAGCTTGTGGGTAGAAGAGTTCAGTTCCCCGAAAGTCTCTTCAACCTCCACGACCTGGTCTCCTTGAGACAACAATGTACCCTCTCCTTCCATTGCATGCGCGATTTCTAAGGCAGGCAGTTGATTTTGAACCATTCCAGCGGACTCGTTTGTGGGTTCATCTTTGGCAACCTCACAGGACATCGGGAAACCACCATCAGCAATAGGAGTCACCAGCGGTAGCTTCTGGTCAAGTTCCACAGCTGCCAATTTATCTCGCTCTTCGGTGGTGGTTTTCTCTTGCTGTGCTTTCGCCACTTGCGCAATTTCACCTACGGCTCGCGGGATTTCTTCTTGTTCAAGTATGGGTCTCGGGGTGTTAGCTAATCCTTGAACGTCTTCCAAGCAAGATTCTTGTAGGAAGGCCAAGTAATGTACATCATACAAGGATTGGGGTTTGAACAACCTCACAGATGAGTGTTATCTACAAGGGATATCAATATTTATGATTTCACCTTCGTATCAACAACTACCTTAAATATATTTTTTTAATCAAATTCTTTTAACAACATATTTAAATAACTAACATCATCAAATATAATATATTTTAATGAAAACAATTTTCCATTATTTATTAGTCAAAATATAATATTATATTTAAACTTTAATCAAACATAAAAATACAAGAGTGATAAGACTTTATCAACTTGAATAAAGATAATTATATTTTTTACAAGAATCATTTTTCATATAATTCATAACATATATGTTTAAAGGTTTCTCCATTGCAACCAAACAACTTTCTCATATCCATAATCTTATCATTATACATTAAATGATTGAGAGTAATAAACTATTTAACTCTGGTAATTTTCAAGACACATTATTTCATCATAATCTTTAAATATCTTCTAATCAGAAAGTTATTTCCTTAAATAATAATAGACATTTCATAAGATCTTAAATTTTGCATTACTTTTATCATAATTAGTAATGCCTTCCCTTTTACCATTTTTTTTTAGTTGAACAACAAAATAATAATATTGTACAATTCAAATCCATCATGCTAAAAAACAAGTATCTCCAAATTTAATCAAAACTTATACAATCAAAATACTAAGAAATACATAAATTAACACCAATCGAACATTGATAATATAATTTTAATAATGAAACTTTGTTTCCATAAAAGTACCTCATAGTATACTTTAATTCATAGCATGATTCACTTTAACTCACAAGAGTTCAAGACACAACCATACTTTATTTGCATTTCATGTTAATTAAATAAGTCTATAAAATTAAACCTTAACAAGTCAATTAGTAGAAAATTATCCTTTAGTAAATATGAATAAATATTTATCATCCTTACTAATTGTTCCCACTACTTCAAATTAATATATACAACAATCACCTTTGGACAGAATTTTGCATGTACTAATATAAAAGTAGCAACTTTATACCTTAACTTTAATAGTTCATATATGATTTGCCCAATAGATCAACTAATTTTAATGATATAGTAATTTAATATAACCAATGTGTATGAAACTTTATTAAATTTCAAAAGCTTTATTACAAGTGAATTAATAAGAATGGTCTCATAGAAAATAATCCCCTTTGAGCAAAAAGTTCTCTATAAAACTAGAATAAAAAACCCTTACTAACCACTCACACTTCTTTGAGTCAATATGCATAATTACCCCATTTGGGTAAGTAATCATACACACTAATCTTAAGAACCAAACATTCCAGAATCCTTATTGAGATATATACGAATTTAATAGATGATACACTTTGGTAGTATCACCCAAGTCAATTTGCATACTCCCATTGAAACATTTACCTATAAATAATAAAACATTCCAGAATCCTTATTGGAAAACATGTTAATCTTAATAAATGGTCTACTTTGGTAGTACCATCCACATCAACTCACAAGCTCCCACTAGAACAAAATTTCTTAATATCCCAAAAAATCTCAAGTGATAAAAATCATTAGTCCTAATAAATAAGCTCTTGATATTCACATTAGTCATAAAACATTATTAGGACTATCATATATATCTATGGTTTTACAATCCATCTCAACCATATCTTTTATAATTTTTAATAATAGTAATTCTTTAATTTATGAATTGAGAAAATTTATGAATTGAGAAAATTTTAAAACTTTTGAAAAGACTTTCAATACTAAATGATTCCCTTTATTTTAGTACTCAAAGAGAATTATATGAAATCCCATCAGTATCTTAAATAAACCAAGATACACAAATTTTAAAATTCTTAGAATTTTATCAAATATCTTTTCTTTGAGATTTTAAAATTTTCATGCATTGTCACAATTAGGCTATCAATAATATGCATAATAGACATGTATAATTATTTCTTGAAGGTAATTAATTACAAACAAAATCTATTATAAAACCAATAATTTAGCCTTAAATTATATTTCATGAGATATATCCAAACTTTAATTCCACAAAACCTCTTTATAGAATTTATATGCTAGAACACATATATGAAAATAAACAACTTTATCTTAAATAAAATATCAATATGAGTAAAATCATACTTAGTTATCTCGCATGATTGTACCTTTATAATTTGCCTTGGTACAACTTGACGAATTTTTGAAACTATAATTTTCAACAATCTTTGGTGCACCTTTAATACATATTTTCTAAAAATTTTCTTAACTTCCATAAAGTTAGTAGTCAATAACAATTATACTTTCTCCAAATGTATAATAATTTGCATAAATAGTTTACTAGCAACTGTAAATATATTCTTTATATCTAAATATGGACACTTTATTTCCTTATTAGAAAACACAATGCTAGGAAACCCATATGCTAAACCACATATGAAGGTAAGTAATCTTTAACGAAAACTAAAGTTTCACAATTATCTACTAATTTATCTATGATCATAAATTTCTTTATTAATAGTCAAACTTAAAAACTTTGTAAATGAGTAGTACAACCAATTTCAAGAACTTTAATCCAATGATATTACATTATATAAATAATGGGTATACATGTACCTCCAATTGTGACTAATTGCTTTAACAAAATCCTAAAATTTAATATTCAAGAAGCATATATCATATGTATAATAATATTCACAAAATTACTTTAAACCAAAAACATGAAAAACATATTTTACCAATAATTCATTTGCCACTAACCACATATCTTTAACCTCCAAATATTGACACATATTTTATGTGTTACACTTAACATTTATTTTAATTTAGATGGAATAAATTAATATATATTTATTATGTAAACAATTATCTTGATTTATAAAATCAAACCACATAATAAATATTTTATGCACATATGACTAAAATAAGATTATATTAATAGATATTCTTCACATAAAATCTGATACATTGTGTATAAATTTCAATACACAATATCAAAAAATTTAAAACCACCCAATGCTTAATTGCTGCAAATTACCTAAGTGTCGACATCCTTACATTATATTAGATCTGCACAATAACTTCTAACTGGTTATGTCTCGACACCTTCACCCATTGTGGAAAAAACAAGTCTTTTGGATCATTATGCAATTTTTAAGAATGGCAAAATAACAACACTAATCCCTCAACTTCTATTTACAGTTCCTTTTAAGTTAGTTGAACTCCTTAACAAATTGAGATACCTAATCCTAATCAACTCCTTTTCTTCACTTCCCATTAGGATTCCAAATCCTAAACCTTAAAAAAAAAAAAAAATGGTTAATTCAAATAAAGCATTAAATAACAAAAGAATACCATAACATAAACTCATAAATCCAAAAGAATTCAACTAAATTCACTTCCATATCACATAATTATTCATGGAGATTATTTTAAACATGAAAAAGAGAAAAGGATTAAATAGTGATTAATATTAAATTTATTATCTAAACATTAATTTGTAATGTTATTAGACCACTAGGGACAGATTTGCACTAAGTAGAATTACCAAGGGACCAAATAACAATTTTCCCTTTAATCATCTCCAGTAACCATCATATGTCTCACAACATAAAACTAGATTTTGATTGAATTGACATCTACCCAGTTTATACCACCAAACCAGTAAACCATTCCTCAGTCTCCACAAATCTTTTCAATTAATCTCCACATATATCATCACAACCAGAATCAATGGATTGAATAAAATTAAGGTTTGACCTTAAATAAAATCCAATTAAGGCAAATTTGTATAGCTTTTACATATTAATCAAACCAAGGCTTTAAACATCAATCTTGACTCACACAGATTAATTTAACAAGTGCTCTCTAATATAACCAAACAATTTCATATTCAATATGAATAAATATATCAATTTTGAAATCAAAGATTTCAAGTTAACTCAACAATAGTTATTTCAAGAACCACTTATAAGTTAATTTTCTTGGATCCTAAATCTACATATAACCTACTTTGATACCACATGTTGTAATTTTAAGGATTGATATACATAGAATTTAGGATATCAAGATCTAATAAAATAAATGTATTACGTACCTGAATCTCCATAATCAATATATTACCTAAGAATTTTCAAGAATCTTCATAACTAGAGATCTCATAACAAAACCTACAAAACAAATATAATTAGTATTGGAATTTAGGTCTTCCTTTCCCTAATCAACTTTTGTATAGTGACAACTAATGGGTCATACCACTCCCTAACTCTCATATTTATAGAGGTGGGGTTTTTTTGAATGAGAAAGGGGACCTAACCTATTATAATAATATTTTGGGTACCCCATCAAGTAGCCCGCCTTTAATTTAAGGTTCTACACCTATTCATATCACATTATATAAAACTGAGATAAAACCTAGGCCTGCTTGGATCACATTATTTTATTGGGTTTTATCGGTTTTTTTCCATTTGACCCAAAATTTGAAAACCAAATACAATTAGCGACAGTCCACATAAAAATTTCCAACACCAGAAACCCAAAAACCCAGAAATCTAGGTTTGATTGAACCTAAAAATTTGCATTTTATCACCTATATCTAGAAATTTATGAAGAGGGATAGGGAAGAGAAAGAAGACCAAGAAGAGAATTAGATTTCATGAGGAGAAGGGTGGGAGAGAAGCATTAGAAAAGGAGAGTGAAAGGAAGGAAAAGAAAACCAAAGTAGAGGAAGATGACTGAGAAAACAGAGTGGTTGGGGAAGAAGATGAAGCTAGTGGGCTTTATGTAATTTACAATTATTTTGATTTAAGAAATAATTAAATACTAATTTACCCTTAAAAAATCATTTTTTGTCCGAGTCATCACCAACTCATCACTTATTAATGAAACAATTGAAAGGCAAAGAAAAAGATTACGCTTTATGATGTCATAGTTAACTAAAAGGCTGATATGGGGATTCTGAATAGTAGAGGGGCTGACTTGCACTACTTTTAGGTACAGGGGCTGATCTGCCACAACATTGCAAGTACAGGGGCTGAATTGCACCTTCTGCCTTTTGATTCCTGTCGTCAAACAGAGGTGATGCATTGATGCATTTTTGTGGTATTGATGAAAAGCGTTGACTAATTGACGGCTCAGATTAAGCGTTACTTATAAGTTTAAACTCTATTTTGATCCCTCTACTTTAATAAAAAATTTTTTTTAGTACCTATACTTAGGAAAGCCCCCTTTTGGTCCCTAAAGTTAATAATCAACCCTTTTTAGTCCCTCCTTTATCTTTTTACACACATGACGTTAGATGATAGAATTTTCAAATTTTAAACCATCCAAAAAGCTCTTTTTTTGTTTCTACACTTTGAAATTTTTGTCATCTGACTTATGTAAAAAGATAACAGAAAAAAAAGAAAAAGAAAAAAAGAAACTAGTAATAAACTTTAAAGACCAGAAAGAGCTTTTTTAAGTAAAAAGACTAATAGAAACTTTTATTAAAGTTGAGGGACCAAAATGAGACTTTAACCTTACTTATATTTCTTGTTAAAGCAGTTTTCTGAATTAATTGTCGTGATGATGCTCCTCAATCTTTCAAGTATAGCTTAGTTGGGTTTGTAATCTCTCAATTATTATAATAGGGTTCCTAACATTTATAAGTTTTACATTCTATGTTGACCAATCAAAAAAGTGTTGTGTGAATTGCATAACTTTAACCATTGAATGAGAACAAATCCCTAATATTGAGAGTTCTTCTCCATCTAATTATTCTTATTTTATAATTTAATAATATAGTTCAAATTAAAAAACAAAAACTTTCAGGTCTTGGCCTATATATAAAAGAACTAGATAAAACTATATGGCAATCTAGCTGAATGACAAAGAAACTCATAAGCTTGATGTCTGAATCACAAGGATAAGGGAATTGACTCTATGGTTTTACAATGAAAATTAAAAAATAAAAATAAAATGAAAGGTTTAGCCCATTTCAAACATATACATAACTTTATGCTGGTCTTCAATGGATTAGTGGAGCTAGCCCTAAAAGGGGACTTTAAAATTGAAGTAAGATTTTTAATCATTTTGTTTTGTATTAAGGAATAAAAAATGAATGGACAATCTATAACATCTCAACCCAATATTGATACTGTTCACTTTGGTTCTTTGGGCCTCACGATTTTCAAATATGTCAATAAGGGATAACTAGTGTTGACCTATATACCTAGTATCTCTTTTATATTTTGTCAATGTGAGACAAAAAATATGTCGCACCCTAAAACTAAGAGCGAAACGAAGTGGTCCCATAAGTGCATAAGGCTCTGAACTTATTTACTATATTATGCAAAATCCATGACTTATAATAATCCACTAAAATCCATTATAAAATATAGTTAAAATGTCAATTTGGTCCCTCAAATTCTAGATTTATATCAAAATTATCTCTCAACTTCAAAAAATATCAAACCTATCCTTGAACTCTAATTTTTAATAAAAAACTTATTCTGTTAATAGAAATATCACGTAATTCGTTATTTTGTCATAAAATCAGTTCTTTTTTAAAATACTAATGACATGTTAAGTCAAACAATCATATTTTATTATCATAACATATTTCTATTTATATAGATTGATATATAATCAAAGTTGAAAAACCAAATTGATATTTGTAATCAAAGTTCAAAAACTAAACTAGTACTTATCTTTAAAGTTTAAGGACTAAATTGATATTATTTTCAAAGTGTGAAGACTATTTGGTACCAAAAATTAAAGTTTAAGGACAATTTTGGTACTTTCTAAAGTTAAGGGATGATTTTGATACAAATTTGAAAGTTAAAAGACCAAATTAATATTTTAACCTAAAATAAATATTTTAAATAACCACAATCGAAAGTCAAATATCTAACTCACTCAAATTATGGATAAAAGCCAATTTCATTTAAATCATCTAAATATCCAAGTCTAAAATCAAAAACTAGTCTTAATTCAATAATATAAGCGAACTAGCCATCTAACACATCATTCACATCATTCTCTTTGATCCCCAACATCTCTAGTCTCATTACTTGAAATGATGGATAAAGAAAAAAAATGTAAGATAAATCCCAACAAGTAAACTACAGATGCCTTACATAATAGCATGCCATGTTCATGTAATAATAAAAGAAAGAGTATCCTTAAATAATTACCAGGAATTAAAACTCAGTAAAGTCTCTTCAAGAAGTCATGACCAACATTTTAACTCTCATTGATAGGATGAACAGGAATAACTAGCGTTTTTACTTCCACTGGTAGGATGAATAGGAATTAACAATATTTTTACACTCACGGACAAGATGAACAAGAAACATGACATATAATTGGAGACAAAAACAAGCAAGTGATAATATGCAATATAAAACAGATTTCTAGCTCTAGCAATAAAATCAACATGACATGATCAATTTTTATTTAACACAATAAATAGATCTAAACAAGTACATTTCATGCAAAAGTCACAAATCAAATTTTTGTCTAGCCACCATCTCAAAAAATTTTAAAATATGCTTTAGAAAATCAATTTTCAAACTTAGGAAAAACTATAAATTTAATTATCTCACCAGGCAGGAGCAGCTAGAATCACGCAAGTACCAAGAGCTTAAAGAACAGAAGCAAGCAAGAACCTAACGGAAGAATCAAAATTTAATAAGCTCATGTCTAGAAACAGAGCTTAAATCTACCAAAAGACCCCACTGTTAATGGCATAATCCATGGAGTCAGAATGGTATGGATATCCCCATAATAGTCATAATGACTAGCTCGATAATTTCTTGATTAATAACCACCCAGAGCTGTCACACAAAATTATTATATATATTTCTTTAGAATATACAGGGATTAATTCGATCCCTAACTATATATTTATATATATTCTTTTGATTAACCCGTCCCTAAGTTTAAAGACATTTTTAATCAGATTGTATATGCATGTAAATATTTTTAATGACTTCAAATATTAATCCTAGGAGTTTCTTCCTGACTCAAGCTACAAATATGGCTTCACAATCATCAATCTAATATCAACGTGTCAGATCAAAACCAGCAACCGGAATCAAATTGTTTAAATCAACATAGACATCTTGCATCTAAGATAATCAATAACTCCTCTCAAGAATAGCTGGCAACCTCCTAATTATCTTAAGTTATTATTAGTATTATTATTTAATTCCACAATGCAATGTTCGCATCCCATTTCATTTTAGTTTCTTTCTTTCTATATATATATATATATATATTCTTTAAATAGTTCGCCAACCCTTCAAAGCAGCAACAGAAAGAATTAAAACTCAGTCTTAGAGAAATTATTACATACCGAGATTTCCAGCAAAAGAGATCAGTCCGGTAGCTACAGAAATGGTCAGAATTAGTAGGGGAAACTACCGACAGCCACCAAAAATTGAAGGAAAAGAAAGATTAGAATTAGCCCAGTCAAATAAAGGACCCTTTTTTTTTATCGGCAACCAGTCAAATCAAAGATAAAGAGGTAAACCGTAGTCCGTAGCTGTTTTTCTTATGAGAAAGATTGAAGAAAGAACCCCCCATAAAGCAGATAATTACGAACAAAAGATGAAAGAAGAATAGCGGAAAGCTCTTGATTAGGAGAAGAAAAACGTATCGGAGATTTCAAAGGGCTTTAGGATTGGATAAGAAGAAAACCAGATAAGGGAACTACGGTCCTCGTTGTCTTTATACTGTTCGCCCCCCCCCGGTCGCTTCCTTTTTTTTAATCTTTTTACCATTATAATTCCCAAGGTTGAAGACTTTGGCAACTTGATCCTCTAATAAAAATCCCCTTTAGATTAGTCATCTTTTCCCTAATTTATTTATTTATTATCACAATTAATCGTTCCACATAAACCTTCTTGATAATATAGGTGCTTAAAAAAATTTAAAATATTACACAATCTTAATAGGGAAGGTTAAAAATAAACTTATAATAAATTAATAAATATTCTTTGGTGTTACATCAACAAGTATAAAGTATGTGACACAACTGTATAATTATATAAGCTTTTTATTTTATAATTTAAACTATACTGACTATAAAATAAAAATTATTAAATGAAGATAATCTCCCATATTGGTGAAGTTGAACTCATCCAATAATTTAAATTGTGTAATTTAAATTATACAATGTTTTTTAGGAGTATATATCAACATCAATAGATTATTAAAAGATTTTTTTAACCTAAATAATATGTTAATATTGCGTTAATTACACTTTTTTACAATAATTTTTTATAAGAAAATGTAAAAACAAATATTATTTTTAACACCAATGCCATATTGATGATTTTAATTAGGAAGTTGGTAAATTTAAAGTCAAATTTTGTTTTTTCTAAGAAAATTAATTGTAAAAATATATAATTAATACATTTTTAATATGTACTTTAAAATTTTATTATTAAAAATTACATAAATATATAAAAATAATAAGACACATATTAAAAAAACATATTATTAACGTAAATATATGAAAACAACAAAGCACATGTTTGGGTAAATATATGAGAACAACATGATTGTTGGTCCGGAACTTTGAAAAGTTTGTTGGTCAGTAAGATTTTCGGCCAAGTTGTTTCACTTACACAAGCAAATTTTACTTGCATGATGCAATGACCCATTATTAATTAAAATTTAGGGAAATATCTGAGAACAACATGATTGTTAGAACGGAACTTTGACAAGTTGTTCAGTGGGTGGGATTTTCGCCCAAGTTGGTTCACTTGCACAAGCAAATTTTAGTTGCATGATGCAAATGAGTCTTGCTTGATTTGAAAGTGCTGCGCATTATTCTACTGCTAACTGCATGTTTCGGGCCAATGCGTAGGGCCACTCCCATGTACAGTCCTTTTCGTTAATTAAGAGCACTTCTAGATGGAAAGGGAGATTATTGCGCTTAATTCTACTTCTGATGACTGCATGTTTCATGCCAAAGCCTAAGGTCCCCTCATAATGGAATCATGAATCAATTAAGAGTAAGGCCTTCTTTTTCAAACTTAAGTTTTAAGTATTTTCTCAAGGTTGAAATATTTTCTTTATTTTAAAAGAAAATTAATGATAGGATTTTTAACATTATTTTTTTCTAAAATCTTAATTTAAATATCTCTATTTTTTAGATTTTTGGAATCTATGGTACAACCTATACTCAACAGTATAATGTGGTTCGCTATTGGTTTCCCATCTCATTTGTAGTCCTTTACATTAAGTGCACTTCTTATTTCTAAGGGATCATTATAGCTGTGATTGACTTCTACATCATCTACTTATCCAAACATTAATGTGTCACAGGATAGCCAAAAAAAAAAAAAAAACCAATAATGTGTTTAACAATCTGAGTGGTTTGACATCCACCGCCAGTGGCCTATGATAAAAGGCAGAATTCTAACGGCTGAAATTTGAGAAAGAGAAAGGTCCAAGTTCATTGGTACATAAAAATATCCTTGAAGATTGAATTTATTGGTGAATAAATATCGTGTTTTATTATTAAAGTCTTGAAATTAGTACACACAAAAATTAATTTTTTTAAATACATTACTTGAATTTGGAGAAGTAATATTGATTAATTAGTAATGTGAAAGATAAAAATTAAGGTTATTCCTATATATTATATATCCAGGTCGGCATCTGTAATTGTGTATGTGTATCAAAAAGATATCTATTGTTAATTTTTCTTAAATAATGTATCAAGTTAGCGTAGGAGGTGCTGACCCAAAACAGACTAACTCTAAATTTAAAAATAAAAAATAAAAAACTAAAAGAGAAAAGATACATATTGTACATATAGCCACTCGCTGATCCCAGAAAAAACTGGGATGAATTGTGCGCGGAGAAAGTTGAGGGCTAGAAACCAAAAGCAGGTGAATGTGGGAGACCACATCACGGACAACTAACAGGACACTACTGCCTTTGAACTAACGCCAAAGGAAAGGCCAAAAGTCGCTTAGGAGTTCATACCCAGAAAGTCACCAGGAGCCTGACTAGAAGATCATCCAATGGTTTTTTTATCCAAATACAAGAAGACAGCTACTCAACCTTGACATTCTAGATCGGTAATTGGCAAACTGGGCTTAGTACATAAGAGTATGTATAATGATTTTTTTTTTTAATTGAGAAAGTAATTAGAAAAGTATGATATAAAAAGTTAATAAATTTTATAGTGAAATTTTGTTAAAATTTTATTGAGTTATTATGTATTTGGTAAAAAAATTAGTATAGGGAAAATTGATAATAAAGTTGTTAAATAAATCATACATATAAAAAATTGAGGAGAAATTTTTTACCTATGTAAAAAGAAAAGTTTATGAGTTTAAAATTGTATAAAAAATAAAAATCAAAAATATTATTTTTACTTGTTTTTTATCATAATATTAATGGATAAAAATATATAAATATTTTTATAAAAAAAGGCTTTTAAAATTTTGAAGAAAAAAAATTTCCCCAACCAAACTTTCATAAGATGATGATAGCAGGCGCAGCATCAATTCTTTCATCTTCTTTTTCATCCAACGGCTAATCATGGACTTTTTGTTTTGTTTTGCATTTTTTTTTTAATTCTCTATTCAAAAAATTTGTATTTAAATATATAAAATACGAGTTAACTAAAATAATATTAGGACAGCTTTTAAAAAAACTCTGTGCATTAAAGATAAGGTGTTTTATTAAGTGTTTTATTAAAATATTAAATATATAAATATATAATTTTATATAAACTAATATTAGTTATAATAATTATGTAACACTGAATTTATTATCAGCATGACAAATAATAACGTAGATTCAAACCTACTAACTTAAAAGTAAATTAGTACAAGAATATTAATATCAGAATTATTAATAAGAGTTTCAACGACTTGTTTCTAATTTGTCAATACTATATATTTAAAGTTTTGTTTAATCACATTTTGCACATACTATTTTCACACGTCATTTTATTTAAAAATACAAAATTTTAATTTTTAATTAATTTGTTATGTATTTTTATTAATTTTAATGAATATTTTATATATTTTTAAGATAATAAAATATAAAAAAATAATTTTTTAACTTGTATCATTAAGATATAGGTTAAATGTATTTTTTTTTCATAAATGTACATAAAAAATAAAAAAAAATTGATATTAATTTTAATGTTAATACTGAGTTAAAAAATTTAATTACACAATTGATAAATTTAAAGTTAATTTTTATTTTCGAATACAAATTTATGATAAAAATATATTTATTATATTCTTTAGATTAAATGTTAATTTTGGTTCCTCAACTTTAAGGTTTTACACAATTTTCATCCCTTGATTTTAGGCACTTTTTTGGCCCTTGACTATAAAAAATGTATTCTTATAGTCATCCTGTCAATTAATTTATTAATTTTGTCTAAATATACACATTTTTAGTCCCTCAACTTTAATATACACATTTTTAGTTGCTCAACTTTAAATTAAAGAACAAAAAATGTACATATATTAGAAATTGATAAATTAAAAAATGTGCAAATTCAGATAATTTAACGGATTAACTAATGAAAATATTAAAAAAGTGCATTTCTCATAGTTAAAGGACTAAAAAATGCATAAAAAATTGACGAATGAAAATTATACAAAACCTTAAAGTTGATGAACCAAAATTGACATTTAACATATCCTTTACTACCTGTTCTCTAAAACTAAAAATATAAATTATAAAAACTCCATAAAAAATTACAACTATAACTACAACATATACAACACTTATAAATAAGGTATAAATCTTATAATACTAAATATCTAACTCTTCAATATACTACAAAATATATATCCGAATCGAAACTAAAAAATTTTGTTCCACTGGCTACAGTAATCTACTTAATTCCACCGAAAGATCTATCAGTTGGGAATTTAATTTCCTAATCAATAATCCAATGGATACAAATAAGGTTGTTTTCAAAGTCTACAATTTCCCTGCCCCATATGTTGCTTCCTTTCCAAATCCCTTAGAGCAATGGTCGGCACAAAGCAACAGGCATTATTGGACCAGAGATGCCTTCAAAATCAATGGCTGCATTTCCTATATATGACTCATTCGTCATTCATACTCAAAATTAACAAATAGTCATCTCTCCCCAAATAATAGAAATTTCTAATTTTTATGTTAAGAGTTGAGATTAAAAATTTGAGAATAATTTGTATTTTTACTTATTTTACTTTAAAAGAAGAAATAAAAATAAAGAAATATTTTTCTGATATAATGGATAATTAAAAATTTAAAGTTAAAAGATAATCATGAAGTTAAAGTAAGAAAAAAATTCTTGTCTCTTTTTCAAATATGAAAAAATAATTATTATTTATGATAAATTTTAAATAAAAATATTTATTATTTTGGGATGGAGGGAGTAAATTATTAACTTGTGTTTTTAGAACACAAATTAAGTATGTAGTTTTAATTATTTGATTTTATAACTAATAAATAAAAAATATGTTAATTTAATCTTTATCAATTATTTAATTAAAATTATTCATATAATATTGTTGTTAAAAAATATACTTACTTTTATATTTTTTATAAAATTTTATTATTATAAAAAATA